ATGGAAACGGTGGCATTGGACCCTTTGGTACAGGGGGTGACACACACGGTCATCCGCCGCTCCGCTGCTCAGGGACCTCTTGAAGCTTCTGGCGGCACTCGAGTCCCAGGAGCGAAGGGACCTGGGCTGACCCGCACCGTGACATCCAATGGGGAAAACTCTGTGACATCCAACACCGAAAGCTGCTTGGAGGTTCTATCGTGTGCAGAAGTCAATGTAAAAAAACACTTCTTGAAGTTCTGGCGTCGCCAGCGGCTATAGGGGTATGGTCTATCAAGTTAGAACATGTTAGAACCTTATCAGTGGCGAGAGGATGTGTTCGATCCGCAGGCGCAGGCGCCCTTTCGTTCTCCGGTGAATCAAAGGATCCAATTGTCAGCTGCGAGGGATTCTCCAACCAGAAACATGGAGAAACAAATCTAAAGAAACATGAAAAGAACACACAAGTTGACATTGAATTCCAAATCTGCTCTCTTGCCAATAGCCTCAAGAAGCCATCGAACGACGGAACAGCCAAGGTATCCAGTGCAACTCCTACTTCATTTTTCACCGTGCCACCCGTTTTGGGGCTGCTTCGGACCAAACTCCCAGCTCCCTCCAGCTGTCATTCCAGGGGGCTTTGTCCGCTTTCCTGTCTCCCCACCGGGAAGTCTTACAGTAGGTAGCAGAATTCAGGACCCCACCGTCTTCACCGCGCGATCCGCGCCGTTTTGGGCCCGAAGCCCACGGAGCAGGACTCGCACCCCTTGGCCAACTCGCTGGTCCGCAGCTACGTGGGCTGCGCCGCCACCTTCGCCGAAAGCTCGGCCAAAGGTGTGGTGAAGCTGCCCAAGGCGGTCGGGTTTTTCCGGACGTGAGGTCAGGTGGTCCTTTCTTGAAAGGAGCTGTTCCTGAGATGGTTGAATGTTTGGGAGCAGCCAAGGTGAAGAAGGTGGATGGGCAAGTGCCAGAGGTTTGTTGAGTACAGTCAGGATACAAGACTATTGACATGGTCGTACTGTTCAGAGGCCAGATCAGTAGGCTTGTGTAGATGAGGGAACAAAGGGCATGACGGTTCCAAAAACATCTATACAGTCAGTCAGCTGCATTCCTTGCTAGCGACGCACCACCAGCTAAACGCGTCCCGTTTGACGTCTGGCGTGCGCTTTGGATGTAGAGCTTCATAGGGAGCCCTGATTTGACTGCACCATCCATGTTTGAGATTTCAACCAAAAACCTTCTTAAAGACTCTGAAGGGCCCTCTCGGCCGGTTTTGTTTCGCACAGCCAGACTGAACCCACATGAACCCACCCCTTGCCCTTTCTATACTATCCACACAAATGTCAAAACACGAACCCCTTGTTTCTGGCGGATGTCTTCCGGTTGCCACTTGGTCGGATGTCTTCCGGTTTGTCGTCCGGAGAACGAGGTCGGCCAAGTGGTCGAACCCGTGAGTCGAGTCGGCTGGTACCCATGCTTCACCCATTTCTATAGGGATGTAGTCCTACCGAACTGACCCGGTTCGGTACGACTGGACCCGACAAAGGCACCTACATAGTCACAACATGTCACAACAGGTTTGGTCTCCAATCACCTCTCAGAGGGTGGCAGTGAATCCCTAGTAGGGCATGTTCAGTGGTCGCATCATGCAACATTTACTCTCTCATGAAACTGCGACCCAAGGTGAACAATGCACCTAGGGCTCCCATAGGCTCCTATCCCATATCCAGAAGGAAGGTGGTGGGCACAGACCCCTGGCACCCACCCCAAGCATCTTTTCAGGAGGTAGGCCAGGAGCCCCAGGGTATGCACCCAAATAGACCCTTCCGCACCATGTTCACAAGCAGGTGGAGCGCTTTACCCGAGTGGAGTCGCAGGGGATTTGGGGGATCATCGACGGACAGGTCGGGGGGCGGTGGCCGGTGCTGGGTGGTGGGTGGGACGTCCTCGAGGGATTTTTCGAAGTGACGAAGCTGCAGGAAAAGACCGAGAGCTTCGTCGTGGGAAGATCGGAAAAGAATCCCTGCAATACAGCCGCTACAGTCTTTCAAGATCTTGAAAAGGGGTTCCCATGATGACGCACGGCCCCAGAGTTTACCAACTATAGCAGCTAGCATCATCCTTGTGCCACCAGCCGCCAGGCAGTGACTAGCTGCATACGCCCAGACTCTGGTTTTCACCTTTTTCGAGAACTTGGGGAAGCGCCCAAAAATTGACCAGTCCAACACACACGCACACATCATGTCACTGACAGCTATTGACGGCTCGATAGAAGCTACTAGGAGCTCCTGGCATCGCTACTAGGAGCAAGGACGCTACTAGGGGCTCCTGGCCTTACTACTAGGAGCAAGGACGCTACTGGGGGCTCCTGGCATCGCTACTAGGAGCAAGGACGCTACTAGGGGCTCCTGGCATCGCTACTAGGAGCAAGGACGCTTACTAGGGAACTCGACCAATGCATTGGTGGATTCTCCTGAACGACTCGTAATCTCATGTAAACTCCCTACTTGGAAGTTCATCATGTTTAAAAGCCTCCAGACTTCATCCGGTCCATGTCCATGCAACATCCTCCTCTGAATTCCTTTGGCACGCTTCTCCCCGGTGTTTCGCGAAGAACGTGCTCCGCGCAACGGAGAGGTCATCGGTGCCGGCAGCCGTCGCTTTTTGGATTCCATGGCCATCGATGTGCCGAAGGAAGGCGAAGCGAAGGCGATCGGTTGGCTGTGGCTGTGGCTGTGTTGTCTGTAATAGCAGATTGACCTTGGAAAATTGCGCATGATTTACTTGGATTATCTTGGATCAGCTTGTTTTGCGGTTGGCGAAAAAGTTCACCAGATCAGAAAAGACAGTGGTTGCGTTTGGTTTTGTTTGGTTGGTTGGCCTCCACGTTTAAAACAACACACACACAAAATCACAAGCAGTCTCCTGACTCTTTTGTTCGATGATTTGAAGACATGGAAAACAGACCACAGAGAATGTGAGAACTTGAGTGACCATACAGACTCTCATGACCATACGGTCCTGAACCATCCGAATCGGATGTCCTGCAAGGCCCCGTTGGCAACGACCATTCGAAGGAAGTACTTTAGACTCTAAGACCATCTTCAAGATGTTGCTGATGTGGATCCACTTACCCTTTTGCAAGACGGACCGGTGGATCATCTCCTGCCCACTCTGGAGGCTGGTAGTGTGAGGCCATTGTGAGGCCGCTGCGGCGGTTCCTTTTTTGAGCTGGAGCTTAAGTGAGCTTAATGGCTCCCAGATCATGCACAAAAGAATGGCCAGAATGACACCCTGTCAGGTGAAAGAATGGGAGCAGCAAGGAGGCGTTTCCACCATCGTGTACATGACCGTTGAGGACGGCCGCTTAAAGAGACAACAGGACCAGACCTGAATGTGCGGCAGAAATAGTTGATCGATGTCCCAGTCAAAGATGACACCAGGTCTATGCCATCTATACATGACTTGATCAAGCAGAGCTGTACTCTTATTTGATCTTTATTGATAATAAAGAGTATAGCCTACCTACACATTTTGTTAAACAAGAGTTACTCGTACTGTAAGGTAGTTCCTCAGTTACATACATCATCAAGAGGCCATGGTCGACTGGGAGAGTCAAGACTTCTGTAGAAAATGCCTTTGCAAAGTACTCGTAAAGCAGAACATTGAGCACGTTTTGCGAAGACCTGCGAAGCCTTCACAACTTAGAGAATTGTAATGAGATCAGAGCTTGAAGCTGACCGTGGTGGGTCCCATTTTTTGAAGTGAGATGATATGTGGAGCGATTTCGCGAGCATTTCTCGAAGTGGTTTGACAACATGACGTCTTGATTCATAGTGATCTTTTGCAGGCAGCCGGGCAACTGCGAGCGTTCAAGGTGGTTGCAGTAAAAACTAGTAAACATCTTGTATACGAACCTTGGACGACCTGTTGTGCATGTTGGTCTATGTACAGTAGGTCAAAAATTCAAGGCCCACCCAGCCCTACCATCAAAGTCACCACCACCACCAGCCTTCACCGTGGTCACTGTGTACCCAGAAACCGTAGTTTTTTTCCGCATGCAGCCTCATTGACAACCTGCGAACCACTTTGTTGGGGCTCATTCAGGTGGAACGTCCGGTGAACTCATGACCCCCACATTGGGAGACAACGTGGCATCTGTAGGACGACGTGGCCATGATCCTGCGCTTCTTGGATTTCATGCTTGGCCTTGTTTGGACTTCTTAGGCCAGTCTCGAAGTACCTCGGAAAATGGGTACAAGCATGGCACAAGGTACCTCTTTTTCGAGGGTCATGTCATGTCCCATTTTTAAGGTTACTTTGAAGCGCTTGAAGTCGGGTATAAGTGTCTTCGTTTCGTCTAACGAATGAAATTCACTGGATGTGTGCGCACCTTGGAATCGCTGGGAGGCCCTGGATTTTCGCAGTTGTCCTACTCAAACGACCCTAAGGATCCACATACCTGAGGTACGGTGATTGGAGACGATTGAACTCGGTAACAAGAGAGTAACAACTGCGAGACCGAGATGTTTTTCCACTTCATTGCCCACCCGGGGCCCACCTGATAGACTTCTCAGCATCCCACTCTCGATCCAAGGGCCCAAGGAGAACCACAGGACTCCGTGGTTCTCCTCCCCCTCTCAGCCGTGCCGTTTACAGGCATCCCACATCAAAACCCCTCCACCTCGTTCACATGTCCTCTATGAAATTGGGTGGCGTACACCCCTTGTAGAGGCTATTTGTTGTAGAGAATCCATTTAGTTACTAAACCCCTCAAATCGGTCTCCACTCCAGGCCTGGAAGACGAGCTGCGCGAGGACGCCAAGGCAGCGATTGCCACGCTGCAGACCCTCGGTGTCTACGTGGCGATGCTCACGGGCGACGAGCGCAAGGCGGCCGAAGCGGTGGGTGCTGCGCTGGGCATCAGCGAGAGGCCGGGGAGTGTAAGTTGATGTGGAAGATGGGACTTTGGTGAAAGAATCAGGGGGGAACTGGACAAGTAGTACTACGGGTCGCACCCCAAGGTCCTCGCTGTTTAAAGAAGCACGGCATTCTGTTGAGCGACTCACTGCCGCTTTTTCTCAGAGTCCATCGGTGTTTCTGAAGGCGCTCCAAGCTCACGCCCGGTGACAAGGAGACCCTTGGCACATCGCCAGTCGGTCGCCAGTCGGTGGCATGGAGAAAAGCGGTCGCATGGAAGGGAGCTCATTGGATGAGGACTCTTTCAGAGCAAAACCGGGTGTTTGTTTGGGTGAAAGTGGGCTAGCTGCTCACTGTTAAACATTTGATTTGCTCATTTATTTGAGAGGCGTAGAGGCGAGCGATAGGACCGATAGGAGCGATAGGAGCGATATAGGTTGAGGTGGTTGTATGTAGGCGTGGAACGTGGACTTGCCGCGTTCTTGAAGACTTCTGTAATCTATAGATATACTCTATGCATACTCTATGTTACCATGTTCAATTTTCCTTGAAGCTGATCACACAAGCTTATTTCTTTTTTCTTCTGGATGAACAGTAACAAACTCTGTCCAGATTAAGCTCAACATGTCCAGACATGTTCCGCAGCGAAGCACGGATGTTGGAGGTTCATGCCTGAGAATCAGTGGCCAGCAAGTGGTCAAGTGATCGTTTCGTGCCAACCAGAGCTACCGCTAATATAATATCATCAACCAAATTGTTTGGTGGAAACTGGTAACTGGTAACCCAAATAACCAGAAACAACTCGTGTTAATATGGCAATTGAGCTCCTTTTCCGTTGAGTGATTTTCAGAGTACGTTTTCGTGCGCATGAGCTTTATTTGTCATCTTAAGACTGGATCACTTCCAGTGTCCCAGCGAAAGACTTACTGTAAGTAAGAGCTAATAGTCAAGAACAATGATGAAGAAACAAGTCATGCAGACTCTTGATTTTTGATTAATATCAAGCTACACGGTGCAACCCTTGATTACCAAACCTCTCCGTTATATAGGGGTTTTTGTTAATCAAGAATCAAGAGTCTACATTATCAGTAACAAGAAGGAGGATAAAAGGGTTTGGGAGGAAACGCGGACCTTTAAGTAGCCATATTAGTAGGACATTCCAGACAATGGACATTGTGAACAGCGACTTGAATGTATATGTTCATTTATAGTCTTTGGGGGGCAACTCCGACAGACATGGAGTGACTGTATGTTCAAATGGACACCTGGAAGTCCAATGATATCAATCAGTTGTAGGCCACTTACTGCACCGTAGCCACTCATTGGCCCTTCGAAAACGCGCGGTTATTTCAGATGGAGGACCTAAATCGACTGATTTCGACCGATTCCTTCCACGAGCACCGAGGAATTGGATTCGTGGTGATGCGAACAACCTGGAGAGCGGCCTCCATCAGCCCTTGCTGAACAATACACAGGTGGAGAGTCTCAAAGGGAAGAAGATCGTTTAAGGGGCTGATTTGTGAGGTAGCAATATATAACTCATGTGATTGAGCTATATGTATATAAGATTGTATAAGGTAGCTGATTTGTGAGGTAGCTATTTGTGATTTCCCTTGTGCTTTTTGTATGTTTTGTCATGGCGTTTGAAGAAATGCAGGAAAAGATGTAGGCTGAGGGCCACCATCAGAGCTCGTGTTGCAAAAAAATCGCCCGACTCTGACACGTAGGACATAGACCCCATCAATCAATTTGTAGGAGCAGCTCCTAAATTTGTTGGGGTGAGCAAAAGCATCAGAAAGACAAAAGTTGAAAAGAACCGATAAGGAAATTTGCAGTGTTTCTTGATTTGGAGCTGGACCTGTGCATCCTTTTGATAGGAATCAAGCTTCTCTTCATTTCTCCCACGCTTTCACTTTCACTTATGGCATGATTCAAACACGATTGGTAATACAATACACTACATTAAAACAAACAACATCAAACAACAGCATTAATTACATGTTGCAAAATCATCTCGGAAGAACGATGCCCCATTCCGTTCCCAGTTCTTCTTCACAACCTCATCAGGCAGTGGAGACTGAAAGAAAAGTGCGAATCCGTGCAGCTTCGGAAGGGAGCCTATCCTATATACAACATCTAAGTATATAAATTTATAAGTATATATGCTTTATTATGTGTTATCTAATAATATACTATATACTCCAAACCATTGAACAAGGACGACAGCGAACTCCATCCGCAAAAAATACCAAACCCCAACCCGTGAAAAACAGACTTAGACAAGAGGAAAAGAAGTGGCGATAACGCTGTTTTGGTTATGGCATTTATTTTTGTACAACCCACTTGGTTGACACAGAAGGCCTGGTAAAGTGCCTACCAGGTATAACATGCTTGACAAATTCAGCATAGGCTTCATCGCCACAGTCGAGGTAGAGGTGGCACTGGTATCGCCAACACCTCAAAGATAGCCCCTCGCTGCCCTCCCAAGCAGATTCCCCAAACTTCCCCCAGGCTGTCAAAGCTACCTGCATGCTGGGCGACGGCCTCAACGACGGCCCCGCGTTGGCGGCGGCGGATTTGGGCGTGGCCATCGCCAGCGGCCTGCAGCTGCCTTGTGATGCGGCGGACGCTTGTTTTCGCGGTCGTGTTCTTTTTCGCCGTGCGGCGAAGATGGTCAAAGCATGGCGGACACCACTCCGACGTGCTCATGGGAGGTTCACAGTGAGACCGAACAACATGGAGAACATCCCCAAGTTAGTGACATCCATGAAGCGTGTCCATGCCGGTGACGGTTGGTTGACATGTGCAAGTGAAGCAAGGTCAGACCACTTTCGGTGCACAGGACTGTCGACTCGAAGGAGTCTTTTCGGATATAGGACTCAGAAGCGACTCAATGGTGTGTATATCCGGGTTTATTTAAACAGGCTGCTCTAGAATGCAAGGTGTTGCACATCACCTTTGCAGTCTTTGATCACCATGTGACCTCAAATTGGAGTTTGTCAAAGGGTCACTTTCAAGAACCAGGATAAGGTGATCAAGCTTTTGATGTGGGTTTAGGGCTGGGGATTCAACCGAACTACACACACAACATCTCGTCCCACATCACACATCCCTGCTGAACAGTCCTATTAGATCCTATATTAGATGTTTTCGTGTGGCACACTTTGAAGTGCTTGGTGTCCTCAAGCCTTTGTCTATCTTGGTCAAGGAGCTTGCCATACCGACCGTTTGACCTACCTGGCGTCGGTCTTTCGCTGCATGGTGAACTGGTCAGGCTCCAGGTTTTGCCCCATCCTCATCTCCTTGGTTGCACAGCCCCTGTTCCACGGCATGTTCCTGGTCCATTGGGAGCCCAAGCGTCCATTCCCAGTTCTGAAGACGGAGAGCCGAGCTGCTGGGACCTCCAACAACAGTCCTATAGATAGACATATATCATCATATATCATATCGGGTTGTATCGGGTATTGACCTCTGCACCAAACACTCCAACTCAATCGTTCCAACTCATTCATCATTTCCGAAAGGTTGGCAAGCCGACCATCTCTGGCCGCTCCAAACGAACCGAGCGGGGTCGGATGCCGGGTCAGGATGTGGTGATTGGCAGTGGTGGGCAGATGCTGCAGCGCTTCGTCCAAGCGCTACACTTTGCCAAGAAGTGCAAGGAGAGGGAGCGAGTTTCTCTTCGGACCGGGGCATGGTCAGCTCGGACTGGGCCAAAAGGGGAGGGAAGTGTTTGGCCAATGGTCTCGCGGCCTCCTAGTCCTAGTCCAATGATCAATACTAAACATATTTGGCATGACTAGATGGGTGACCGCATTTTGCCTGACTATCTGAAGAATCTGAGACTTAAAGTGATGACTCTTTGGACAGTGATCCCACTTTGGGACTGTCCTGGACGAAGGGTAGATCAGTTCATCCAAAGGTTGGTCTCCTTGCTCAAAGACGAAAGTCAAGGCACTCCCAATTTGTTGGAAGTGATTCCACATGTAGTTTTTGTGTTTATGTCTGGATAGATCAATTACCAAAGTGTTTTGTGCAGGGGTCCTTGTAGTCTCCTTCAGATGGGTTCCAAGATCAGATATAGCTTGCTGATACGGTGCATGGCTCTTGACTTTGTCACATTACTTGTATAGCTTGCTAAGGGAAGTATGACGGGCATTTCCGACTTTTGAAAGACTCAAGTCATAACGACAGATGTGCTTCCCCTCAATGTTCTCAAGAACCAACACAACGAGGATGCTGGCGAGCATTCCTCATTGTAACAGCAAGATGATTTGTGATGGGACACAGGGCACTTCAGGCATTGACGGGGGATGGACTACCCCAGTTCGTGACAGGTCCTCGGACCTGCGCTCGTTGGGTTGTTCTCGGACCCCAACGGAAACGGCGCAAAGCGCCTTGCGACTTGTACCCCTTTCTTGCGACTGCTTTGTGCTTTGGAGAAGATCAGTTTCAACAGGCCAATTAATCTCATTCAGATTACAACGCGGCCTGCTGTTGTGAGGACCTCATCAGACAGAACCTGGCCTTCGCAGATGCCTGAGTTTGGCATAGTTTGGCTGTGAACCTTTCCCTGCCCTATTATGTATTCTCCAAGTGAGAACAACAGTGTCCTATAATACCCAGACCAAACAGGGGACTGGAAGATTTATTTAGTTGCTTTGAGGATCTTTGAGGACTCACCCAGCCAAACACATCAAAATACCATGTCTTTCTCTTGTGGGGTTATATGGTCCGCAATCCGACCAACCCAATCCCCAATCCCTCACTATCCACATGCGGTTTCGAAGATGAGAACTTCCACTCCTGGGAACTGCTGATCCTTCACTTGTGAGAACGTGGAGGCCGTATGTGCGATGGTTTGGCTTCATATATTCATGGATATTCACAACGCGACAACTTGAGGCCATCTTGGTGAAGCTCACAGCCTTGACTCTGGCCTTCACTGGTGTCTTGGCCATCCTTGAATTCACTCAGTTTTCGTTGTGGCCTCAACGAGGTTTTCAGGTCTGATCAGCCACAGAGACCTCCAGAAAAGGATCCTGGGACACGGGTGATTTTGACAGGTATGTGTACCCTCCACGATGCGGCAGGCGCTTTCGACGCCTAGGTCTCCCATGGCGTCGAGGTCTCCTGTGCACTTCTTTGGGGGGAAAGGCCATGCTTCCCCCGATTTCTCGATGGTCAGCTTCATGATCGGCTTTTTCCTTGCGGTGGGAATCATCCTGTGGTGGGGATGAGTAGTTAATGGCCATCTCCCAGTCTTCAATTTGGTGTATCAACGTGGTGAGGATCCCCGAAGGGACACATGAGGGTGCGTCCTATTTCCAGTCTACGAATCGGTACACATCGTATCGTATTGCTATTTTCCGAGAAGGGTTTGCGAGAATGTATAGAATATCACCATCATCATCCAATTTCCCAGGACACGTCACACGAGCTGATGAGTCGTATCGGTGGGAGTCAAGGAGCTCAGTCCACAGGCTTTCTGACCACCATAAGTCATTTAATTCCTCTAGCGCGGCGGAGCGCAGGAGGGTGTCACTTGCTGAAATGGAGTGTAATCGTTGACATTTGTTCTTTTGCGTAATTGGCCGGGCCAGCGGAATTCTTGCATGCACAGCAATGTGCCCATTGCAAAGGACATCTTTATCTCACGCTTGGCGTTCTCAGCGACAGCGGAAGCCTGTTGCTGGCAGCTTGGTGGCAATCAGGGCACTTGGTAAAGCGGAGCTGATTATCAATGTGATATTTTTGCGTGATCATTCATCCAGTGGCCACAGCATTGGGGGGCAGCCTCCCCAACAACACAGGCAAGCGCATAGCCGCATACATCTAACAACCTGTGGTGCTAGAGCATCCTAATCACAGAGCATCAGACCATACTTGCCTATTTCCACCCTCAGCCACACTGCGACTGGCTGTTTCCATATTCCGTACCCTCCTGGCTGATTGGGGGAAATCAATGCCCTACAAAATTGCTTGGACCCTTCCTCATTGTGACACAACTGTAGAGATCCACCGGGACATATCGGGACAATTTACTCTCAAGGTGGACCCAATTGAAACCCAGCGTGGGGACTCGTCGACTGATTGATCCCTTGAAAATGGAACCATTTGGGCGGTGCCCCAATGAAACGCTAGGTGTCCGACGTCCGAATTCGAGGTTGAAAGCAGTTCGACCGATTCGAAACCAGCTGTGTTCTTTACTGACCTTCCCCCGGACCAGCTGTGTGGGGCTGACTCAGGTCGTGTTGAACAGCCTCAGACCACTGACCTGGGGATTTTTGCAGATGGAAGCATCGACCGCTGATCGCGAGCGCCCGGTTTCACCCGCAAATCCTTGAAGTGACTGTGCTTTCGATTGGAAGATTTCAACATCTGTCTATTCTTGGGAATTCTTCCAATTTGTACAACGCAAATTGCTGCGTAGCACACAGGTGCAGCTTGGACCGAAAACGGCCAGCGCACTTCCTTTGACCTTTTGGGCCAGATGTGCTTCGATCATGCATCTACCTAGGGCTCCAACCACATCCTCAGAGGGTAGTTAGACCCCCCACTTACACCCCAACCACCTTCTCAGTAGGTCGGTGTACAACAGGAGCTATAATATATATATATATAATATATATATACATATTATATATATATTATATGTGAAGTGCCACGTCGGTTTTGTTCCGTATTGTATACTGTAGTCAGATGTGTGTTAATGATGTTTGAATGTATACCAGGTGATCGACAGAGTGCTGCCTCCGAAGAGACGTAAAGGTTTATAGAGTTTATATCTGACGGGGCTAGTTTGAGTGCTCGGCATCTTTGCGCAAACCTCAAACGTGCCATGCAAGTTCTTTGGGAATCTTTTGCACTTGCACAGCCTGGCTTTATGTTTGTTCCCCCCAACGCCGACACAGTCGCGATGTTTGCATCGCGGCCTTGCCGCGGCCTTTCTCCATGGATGAGACACTGGCACCGTGCACCGCGGGTGCCAGCTGTTGAGGAATTGAGACTGGTCCGGTGAGCTGTCGCAGCGTCCGTTGGCGAGTGAGGAGAGCATCCAGCCGTTTGTTGACGCAAAAGGAACACCCAAAGCGACTGCAGCACATGCCTGGGTCCAGTAAATCACCACTGAGTATCGTTGGGTACTTACAGTTGCATCCATTGACGATTCGTCATCAGATGCGACTGGTGCCAATCTTCATCCATCACAAACACAATGTCACCTCCGATTGTTTTGTTTTTATCCGTGCAAGGTGACATGTTCTATGATGTTGTATGAAACCAAGTTAATTATAGTGGATTGAGAGGGATTGATGAGAGTAGATGGCACAATCCCCAAGGTCGGTGGTTTACATGGACCTCCATAGAAAACGACCACGACTGGGGTGTGTTTGTGCCATTTTGTGCCTACTCTGAAGCCAAGTGACGTTTCCTTTGGTTCGAACCACCTGGAACCCCCATCCACAAGAATCCAAGTTCGACCACTTGGGGTGGCTACCAGGAACGAGACGAGGTTCTTGTTGGCCTCTCCAGGCGTCAGTGGCATGAAGACCGGCTCACTCGGGCCCAAGAGACAGATCTACGCCTCTTGGCCGAGAAACCAACCGAGCCGGGTCGGAGACAGGGTCGGGTGGCGGGGTCGAAGAAGGCGAGAAAACGTGGTGGCGGGTGGGAGTCAAATGGCCTGAAGACGCCTGACAGACGAGGCAAAATCGGAAAGAGGGACTTGTGTTCATCTTGTGGATGTTCACACTGGTGATACAGGGTTGACAGTAGGGTTGACTTGAGGCCCAGTAGGGCCAGGTACAGACACTGACCTTGATGGTTTCTGAAGTGTACAGATCTGCCAATGGACATTGCTAGGTGTTTAGTGGTTGGCCATCAGATTCACTCCTCTCCCGAGTTTGCCAAGTAAGTCAAGAGCCATCCTGGCACGTCAAGACGCCGGTTTGGGGTTGCTATGTATCACCTCCGTTTTTGTTGCCGGGCGATGCGGCCACGACATACTTTTTTTGATGATGTACGGATGGAGTCCTTTGTCAGAGGATGGGGTCCATTCAGAGCTCTTGCTTTTCCTCCTCCTCGTCCTATTCTCCTTCTGCTTCTCCTCCTCCTCCTCATTCTCCTCCTTCTTCTTCTTCCCCTCCTGCTTCTTCTTCTTCTTCTTCTTCTTTGTCTTCTTCTTCTTCTTCTTCTTCTTCTTTGAACGTTTGAGTTTTCTAGGCCAGGCTTTGGAAGACCCTGGTAGTGAACGCCAAGTACAGGGGACTGCCCCATTCCATTGGACACTATCTCCAGAGATGCCTTTGAAGAAGCGCAGAACTGCCACCATCGAACAATCAGACCTCCCTTCTCGTGGGCGTAAGAACCGCAGAAAGGACCGGACCTACTACTTGGTGGAGTTGCGGAGGAGGTGTCAGGACCGTCGTGCAAAGGTCCAAATGTTGCACGCGAGAGGATTCCTGATCGGTGTTTTTGGAGTGAGAGGTCAATGGGGTTCGATGCTTTGTCCTCAAAAGAGGATTTGGAAATATATCGGAACGTCGTTGATTCATGCACCCAGATGGCCGTTTGAGAAGATGTTGTTGGTATCATCTAATATCCGAAGTGAAGACTGAATATTCGGAATAACTAATAACACTTAAGCCGCTTAGGGCGTATAGAACATTTCAAAACAAGCATTTTCAGCTGACCCAAGAAACATTCGCTCCCATGTTAGCTAGAGGCTAGAGGCCTACAAATGGGAAGATTGCGTATACATCTTGAAACATTATATATATACACGTTTAGTTTATAATGTGACAGTAGGAAAAATGTCAATGTATGTCAATTGATTGTATGAACATGCCCTCTCATACCCAACTCATGGTTGAGAGGCGCTCTCATGTTTAAAACCACACAGCCACAGGGAGTGCCACAGGGTTTGGGATTCTCCCCAAACTACTTTGAGACAAAAACATGTCATGGTCTATAGGATAAGACAAATCCCATGTTTGGCAGGGTGTCCTACAATCTCTTTCAAATCTGGTGCCACCAAGTCACCCAGACACCGCCAACTGAACCAGCCCTTTTTGTTCAGTGTTACTCATCAACGTTTTGACCAGATTATGTTCTAACTGAATTAAAGCTGCAGGCCCTTGCGTCGCGTCGAACTCGCAGCTGGGAGAAACGCCAGCTTAGCTCTCTCGAACTCGCTCCCTAGCTCTTGTATGAGGAGCTGGTGGACGAGGTGTCCCGACTGAACAAAGAGGCCAATGACATCCAGCAGGACGGGCCATGCACCCGACGTGTGAAGCTGTCCCGGCACCACCAAACGGGTGTGGGGGGTGGGCACACCATGGATTCGCCACCGGAACTGAAGCTACGGCAAGCTCATGTGTGATAGATGTCCAAGAGGCCATGCCTTCGAAAGGATTCGGACATGAGACTTCCAAAGGATGGCCCGGATCGTTCATACCTTTTCTTTCCAAGTCTCTGGAAAGCAAACCTAATTCAGGACCTTCAAGTTTGAGCGTTTGGTCGTGTGGCTCCACTGTTCACAGATTCCTTCCCTGCGTGATTGGGGTAAGTTTTGTTCTATTGCCTTGGCAAAGGATTGTAACATATTGTAAGTTCCAAGAGATGTCAAAGTTTTCCGCGAGTTCTGGTGTTTGTACTTGTCGAACGCTGGCATCATTTTGTAGAAATGCATGCGGGAATCACATTGCTCAGGTGGTGCGGTCTTTGTCCATGACTCAAGATCTTGAGTGGTTGTATTCTGTCGTGCGTTCTCGCCGTATTCCTGCAGCAAACTCTTCGCAATGAGATGACACATCACCACCAAACGCCCCAACGTCGGTGCTTCTGTAGGACAACAACGTCTACGCCTCTCTGGAGAAGCGCCTGGGGGTCCCAGATTCGGACTGAGAAGTGCTCGTTACAGAGCGTGGCAGAACGCGCAGCCAATGGATGCTAGCAGGTGTGCTTCGACCAGCGCCCGGTTCGAAAGAGGGATCTGGTGGACGGTGAATTCTTCACAGGACTTTTCAGAATTCTTTTGACTGGTCGAGTCCTTCATGGAGTCAAATCAATGTTGTACAAGGGCCATTGGCCATTGTTACAATAGTTCTGATATTCTTGCAAAAATCACAATTTGGTGAATGACTACAGCATCCTTGATTGTGAAATTGTTTCGGGTTTGTCAAGAGGCAGCTGTTGAAGCTCAACCGAGTGTTTGTTAGTACAATAGAAGACCCTTGAATAAAGCTAGATAACTCCGAAGATCATTCAAGAAACTACGACGAAGAACGCCAAGCATGTGGATTGCTTGCTTATCCAATGGTCATTAATTTATCATTCAATTTGCATGTATTTCATTGTTGTTTTTGCTTGTTGTTGAACGGTGTCATTTTGTTCTTATCCCAGAGGGTTAAGGACCACCAGAATCGGATGTCCTTTGGCCCCAGTTTGACCATTCGAACAAAGAACTTTAGCCTCTAAGACCATCCTCAAGTGCTATTAGAACTGTATCAACAAAAGTCTAACATCATCTAACATCAACCTGAACAAGGTACCCTTCATGAAGGCGTTATACAATAACACACATGATTCCTGGATTTGATCGATGTTGAAAGGAAGCCCGCAATTGCAATATCAAAAGGGTCGGAACAAGTATCCAAAGGGCTCAACTTGTATGATCCAAGACTTATTCAATATGTACATGACACAGGACATGGACAGTACAAGAACATGAAGTCAAAGCAATCCAAATATAGGAACCAACAAGTTCAGAACATGTTATCCTCAACATTGAGCAGAATCGATTGACTAGAGTCTCTGTACACAGATTCCATCGGAAACAAGGGCTGGGATTTCTTAGGGGGTCGACATACTTGTCATCCACACGCTTCCACTCTAAAGCCATTCTTTTCAAAATAATTTCTCACCACAGTCTCAACAAAAACCTGATCCACGGCTTCCCGCATGCCCCATCTTTCCTGTTTGAGGTCACTTAGGGAACCGAAGCACCTAAGTTCCGGACGAAGTACCCATCCGCCCAGCGCTCCCTCCCGCCTCCCTCCCGCCTCCGCTCCGCGTCGGCTCGCGGCTCGCGCCCGGCGACAAGGCTATGACTCGCTGGTGAAGACGGTCCGTTCGTTGGAGGGGGATCTGGCAGATCACAACTTGGCCACCGACAAGCAACGTTTCTTGGGCAAGTTTACCAAAGAGAGAGAGAGAGAGAGAGACAGGAGCTGATGAGCAGCAGTGGCATATTTTTTGGGGGGGCGTTTTGACCAGCGTTTCTAGGAGAAACATTTGGCAGGACTCTTGCTTCCTCTGCCGCCTAAAAATTGGCTCTTAAGCCGGTGGCTTTTGTGAATCACTGAGGCACCGACACGAGGCCGGAGGAGGTTCATCACATGTACACCATCATGAAGTCTGCCTCTCAGTTGGTGAGACGTGTTTTTTTTTTCTGTGCAGTTGCACAAAGATTGCAACCGATCTTCACTGTATTTGAGAATGGGGGCAAAACGGGTCCTCGATCTCTTACTGGTGCTTGGTAGACACCTTGGGACCCATTTCCTCTAAGCACTAGTCCAAGGTAGCAAGTTCTCAGCTTTTGGAGGCTTCTTCAATCTCCAGGACGAGCCAGGTTCCTTCGGCTTCGCTCCTGATCGGTCCTTCAAGGTCTCAGAATGAGCAGCAACGTGCCGACGTGGATCAGATCTTCCTGGAGAAACGGAGCCACGAAGAGGAGATCGGCCGCGCCCCGACCGCGAGTGAGCGTGACGGATCATCTCCGGACCGTCCCCAAGAGTGATCAGGTATGATCAGGTGTCGTGTATTTGAAGATCCGGACCTCCCAAGCTCCCAACCAATGATGGGTAGACGGGTCCAGTTTCCTTCTTCTAGGGGGCTCGTTGCCTGGGCTCGTTGCCTGAAAGGTCTCCCTATCTCGCACCCAACTGGTGTAGGGTGGTGCTGACCCAATTCGGGATGGCGTTACGAAGACGGGCTTGTTGTTCAGCTTAGTGAAATATTGCAGATCGGATTTGTGGATATAATATGGATCCCACCAACTACTTGTGGAAGTCCCTGTTGACAAATTTGCAGGTGGTGTGGGTGTGTAGCTCCACTGGTCTCCTCCCTCGATGCTCCGATGGTTCTGATCACGGAGTAAGTCAGCTACGGGACATCCTGGAGAGTTTGGGGTTGGTTTCTGAGCAAAAAAACCTTGGGAAAACAAAAAAACAAAAACACCAAAAAAAAAAACAATTCTCAGAGACTCTTGGCTGGACCCCCTTTTCCTCAAGACTTCCCCTGAATTGTTTTTTTTTTGTTTTTTTTGGTTTTCCCAAGGTTTTTTTGGTTTTCTGATTCTTCTGATTTTGGGGGGTCCAAGCAAGAGTCTCTCAGAATTGTTTTTTTTTTTGTTTTTTGTTTTCTCAAGGTTTTTTGTTCCCTAAGAATCGTGGGGCTGGCCGTGGATGGGATGGGATGGCCCCAAGATGACGGACGTGAGCACGGTCGTGAAACATCCTTCATATCAAACAGGTGGTGCCATCCATGTAACCATGGTTCTTCCAGGCAGTGAGTGTATATTAGAATACATATTATACAATCACTAAAAACAATAATACACGTATAATATATATATATATATTATAGTGTATTTTATATAATCATTATAATGATATACATATATGATAATCTGATCTGGCGCTTGGTCAAACGGCGTTCGCCCCAAACCAGGGTAGACCTCCCCAGTATCGGTCGGTCTCCCGGGACGACCGTCCGAGGTATGGAGCAGGAGATCACCGCCATCGCCCGGCAGGCGGAGGAGCGCTTGGAAACGGTGAAGCTGGTGGCTTCTTCTGCGGCGTGGAAAGCGGACGGCAAGCCACTTCAAAGCAAGGAGTTACTTCAAAGCAAAGAGCTGGTGGCTCTTTACTTCTGTTTTCCTTTTCTGCAGTTGGAGTTGGAATCAATGAGTGGTGTCAACCAGTGGTGTCAACTAGGAGCGAGCAGCAATGTGATGGTTGGGTTGACACACAGACGAAGCCTGGTCCTTGGATCTATTTGCTCATGTTTACTACAGAGTCCAGTCCAAGACCAATGTGATGTGGACAGCTGGAGGGGGAGTTGGATAGAATACATGAACATCACTGATGGAGGTGGAGATGGAAGGTTTGGGGGACATTTGCATGTGTTTACCTTATTTGTGAGACAACTGCGGCTGGGATTGGATCACAGTTTACTTACACAAAACCGTGGTGAACATTCATCCATCCAGACCAGTTTGTTCAGTTTCTTTGTGTGCATGAGAGCTACTGAGCACTAGGATTCTGACCTAGCCAACTCAGCCAACTCACTGTCAAGGGCAAAGAGCTCCTTGGAGGTTGTTCCGAATGTTACCATGGTAATCTGTCCATGGGCAAAAAACACTGGGGAATATACAGAAGCTGGCAGAAATGCCTCATGCCAGTGTTTTTGCATCACTGGATCGCGTTCAGTGACACTCTGACAAACAATTGAAATTTAAAGGTTAAACACGTTAAACAGATGTCTTTTCGTCGGACTCGTGTTTGTATCGGTCAAAAGATTGCCTTGAACGCATATTGTTCTCCAAGGTGTGTCACGAAATGAAGATCTCTCAAGCGCAACCCTTTCTTTTCCAGGTCATGAATCAGTCATGAATCATCAATCCTTCGATTCGAGCGTCTTTGGACAGCAAACATAATGACATCAGCATTTGTTTTGTTTAGTACTGCATAATGTTTTTTCCAGAACCCTGATCTGTACACTGAGTATGTTCTTGCTCTCCCTTCTGAAAAAGTTGATTCATGTTTTTGATCTTACACTAACGATATGTAAGTGCAAGCAAGACATTGAGATTCCACCGCGCACACCTGGAAGCAAAGATCAAAGAGAGGGGATTACATGGAGTGAGTGGTGGAGGCTGGGAGGACATTTCTACCGTAACATGATGCTTTTGATGAAGAACGTTGATGTGCTGCCAGTCTTTATTTGAACACACAATGGTTTGAACCCTGCAAGTTAGCAGGTTGCATTTCTTTTCCCTTCACCTGTCCAAGGTGGTTGCAAGTCTTTTCGGTGGCAGGCAAAGGTGCGGGTTTTTGGAGCCTCTCAGCCACGAAAACACCGAACGACGTCGCCGCTAGGAGCGCTTGAATGAGCTGCACCCCGACCAGCGCCGGAAAGCCTGGGGTATTTGGTTCACGGGGTGAAGGCGTGGAGGGTTTTCCAAAGGCGTGGATGGAGTGGTGTGCGGTTTGTCGTGGTGGTTCGGAGATTGTGGTGGTCCTCAAATACCACACATGGGCTTTGAAGTCGAAGGATCTTGTGGAGCTTGAGTGTTCTTGGGGAATCTAGTAAATCATTCCTTCAACACGTTGAAGCAAGCATATGATGAATATGGTAACCATCTGAGATAGAGGCCGTCGCTCTATGAATGAACTGACTTGTACTTGTGAGACAGACCACAAGATCTGTTTCCCACACGTACCACGTCGCTCTCACGACTTCCCAAGACCACATTCCGTGAAGATACCACTGGGAAGCACCCAATGAAGCACCACTGAGGTCCTGTTGCAAGAAGAACAATAGAATAGGGAAATGTATGGGAACCATTTTGCGTCGTTTGGGTGGCTCCACGTGGAGGAGGTGTTCTTCCTTGAAGGACCCAACACCGGAAAAACTTGTGTGAGTGTGTGTGTGTTTTTCTCAATATGTTTATATGTTTATGAACACCTTTGATCTGCATGCTGTCGAATATGACTGCCTAGGCCGGGAGTATGATGACCTGCGAGAGGAGAGCAAACGGCTCAGCGGGAGGCTCAGAGGTTTTTCCGAGGTTTTTCCGTCGGGATGGCAGGGTTGAATTGGATACAACACAGGAGCTGATAAATGCTGCGAGGAGTGTACAATGCTGACCGATCGATTTGATCCATTTTGCTAGCCAAGAGTGTACATCAATTTTGCTGCTCCGGTCGCGCTAAATGCTGCATTACTGCGAAAAGACAGGAGATCCATCACTTTTGTTGCAGGACCGCATGACCTTTGGAGTTCCATGTGAAAAAAGACACTTAGTAAACGGAACAGGTAATGATGAGGTAAATGATGAATTGGGACGCTGGGCATATACAGGTTAGCTCCCGAAGAGCAAGGACTCTAGGACTCTAGGAAGCCACCCTTGGAGACGGAGTTCGACAACCATTGAATATCACAGCAAGCACCATTCGAAAACCATTGAAACAGAGTGAAACAATGTCGTATCATTTCTTATACAGAGTGACTGGCTATATTCTATACATCCATCTACCCCATGTTTGCGTTCTGTCCTCGCATGCCATACTGCTGATGGACAGAATCCTGCAAAGCCGGAGAACGATAAAGGCTTTATGTCTATATGTTGTTGCTGCTGCTGCTGTTGTTGTTGTGGTTGTTGGTTGTTGGTTGTTGTTGTTGTGGTTGTTGGTGGTTGTTGTTGTTGTTGTTGGTGGTGGTGGTGGTGGTGTGTGTGTGTTTTTGGTGCGATGAGAATGGGGAGGCTTCGCCCCCACATAGTAGATCCTTTCAACATCCATGTTCTTTCATTCGAAATCTCGGAAATCTATATAACTATTATACAACCAGATCTATATAACCAGTCAGGAAAAAAAAACATAGGAGGTTCTGAATTCATGATGATGTTCAGGTCCCATTTGATTGGATGTTTTATCATTTCCTGTACTGACCACAATATTCGGTTGATAAGGCGCCTTGAAGCAAGAAAGACATATTTCCTTGAGGCAAGCTGCTAGCTGTTTGCCTCAAAAAAAATCATCAGAGGTCAAAATTCCTTCAGAGGCTTCCATGGCCTTGGCAGCGCCGCGATTTTTCTGGAAAACGCCCGGGAGGGCCGCGGCCCGGACCTCTTCACACTGAGGTGCTGATCTCGCAGAGGCCCGCGACGACCTGGACCAGGTCGCGCGGCGGTGGGGAGAACGGGACACGGCAGAACGGGTCTCCAACTTGCCTTTTTGTTGGGTGAACAAGGAGCGTTTGGCGGGGGTTCATGATGGACATGTTTGGATGCTGGAAGAACATGGTTTCGTTTGCTCAGGCCAGGAAAAATGATGAACCATGTGGTTTTTGGAAAGGTTATTGTAATTCTCATGTAAAAATAATCCAAGTGTGAAGAAATTCAAAGATGTTCTGGAATGAAAATTAAGATTCTCAAGCTTGCCAGGTGACCGCTGTTTTTGTTGTCATCGTTGGTGGAGAAACAGAAGTTGCTTATCTTGAGACCACTTGGAGAGTCCAACCGATCGACACTCCGATCGACCTCGGCAGGTCACTGGAAGATTGAACGCCTTGGAGGGCAAGTTGATGCCTCAGTCGGCTGTGTGAAGCTGCAGAGTGATGGCAGAGCTAGGGCGGTCCATGCGTGCTACTTGGCTTTGGCTGAATGCGTATGCATGCTCACTAAGAGAGTGTTGCTACTCGCTGGACTCGCAAAATACGTACTCGAGGAATGTTCTCTCGTGCCCCCCAGAAATGACTGGCTCGGTCCCTCAAAGCAGACTGAGACTTGGCACTAGAAATACAACGTCTGAGTTCTTTTCATCAGTCCGTACTACCCTCATCTAGATCGCCAGAAACGGATGATCCGTAGGTAGGTCATGACTAACTCTTCCCATGGACGGAGGCGCTATTCGCTTGCCCCAGGCTGCGGAGCGACCCCTGGCGCCAGCGGCATCGGCAGCTGAGCCGCTGGTCTGGTTGGCCGTCCTGTGAGGTCCTGTTTGGGGATGAGGAAATCAAGCCCAGTGCTTCCAAGAGTTGGTGTTGTTTTTTGTTTGGGAATGAATCAAGATATCAAGAGGAATCAAGCCTCTCTTACAGGCTACTGGAGAGATCTGGAGTGCATGTGAACATTTGGAGATGTTTTTTGGATGGTCACTGCGCAAAGTTGACCAACCCATCAGCTACCAGCTGTACTTTGCTGATTGGATGCATGTTTGACACAACAACGTAGTAGATCCGAACCTGAGCATGAGGATGTGCTATGCTGCAGCTTCCAGAAACTTTCCCAGAGCTGAAACATTCAGCTGAAATTGACTCGAATCACTCCGAGAAGTTCCGATCTCACTACTTCCAGTGTAAGTCTATTTGGTGTCAACTGAGTGGTGCCAGCATCGGAAATGTATACTCCCTGAAATAGTATGAAATAATTATGGACGTGGATGACATGGCCCCTTGGATGACCACTTTCCTCTACAAACAGGTTCTTTTCATTTATTTTCCATTTCCATGAATATTTCAGTCAGTGTATATTTAGATATTTAATATACATAAAGGTGTATGCATATATATATATGATAATCTAATATATAGATATGTCTTTTCAATCAATCTTGCTTTCAATCCCGTCTTTTCCATCCATGGCCTTTGCTGAGATCAAACGCGCCGGGATTTGGAGACACAAGTGAACCAACTTCGTGCTGGCCTCAGAAGCTTCCCGGGTCCGGGTCTCTCGTGGGCTGGGCACATTTTAACCTGCTTCGCGGGAACTTGGTTTCACGGTAGGGCAACCTACTGTGTTTGCAGTTCCGATTATGATGATGATGATGATGATGATGATGATGATGATTACTTTTGATCCTCATGCCTGAAAGAGACTGCAAGCATCCAAACCCACAGAAGCGTTTCACAAAAAGAACGACCCTGTTGGAGAACCTGCAAAACCTTCATTGTGGATCATCGGACCAACCAATTTTGCGATGTGTTAAAACATATGTATACTGTATATACATGTACTGGGGCTGCCTTCAATGTACTGTATCTGAAACAATCCACACCAACAGAGCTGATAGGGGACAACCCTGGACCTGTACCCTAGTTTGCAAGAAACATTGATTTTCAGTTGGTTTGAAACCAAGGGACGCCAAAATAGAATAAGTTCTGTTTGTTCACTCATCTTGCCGATAGCTTGCCTCGGCCCTTCTTCTGCGCATGCGCGAACTGCGTCAGCGCAGGTGAGGAGGTTCAGCAAGGCTCCATGAGCATCCCTGAGCAGCGTGAGATCTTGTTGTCCAAGGCAACGCCAGGGAGCGACATCTACAGTGCAGATTCCACTCAAGACGAAATTGGCTGCTTAAGGGGTCGACGAAATCGAAGGAAACTGGTGTTTTTTTCATTTGTGTTTTGTTTTTTTGAAGTTTTTTTCATGGGAAAACAAGTCATGTTGTTGCTTGGGAGGTTCATTTTGCAGAGGCTGCCGGGTACTTTGGGAGATAACAAAGTGGGTGTCATGGAAGAAACCCCGTTAAGTTAGGTGGACAGGGTAGGGTGGACATGGTTTAGTGAGTACTTCTGCTTGTGTTTCCGGGGTTCTGACTTCGGGTCAAAGCAGCACAAGTTGAGATTGGCCAGGTGTCCCTTTATGACCCGTCGAGAGACTTACACAAACACACCGTTGTTTAGGGAAACTGAAACAACGGTGCATCAGTTGTGCTAGCCTTCAGGCAGCTTGCTTTTACCTGGAACACATACAAGCCTGGTTTGTTTCCACCAGGCAACGCCAACTGTGAAAGTGTCCAATCACAACTTTACAGTTACAGTAAGTGTCATGGATTTGAAAGCGCAGAACTTTGGTGTGTGACGTGTCAGGGAGTAAGGAAACAGTTTGATTTGGTGTTTGTTCCCCTACACCTCCAAGTACCTCCTCAGGTTCGGTATGACTGGACCCTCCTGGCAGCCACCCCAGTCCCACCAAACCTCAGCTTCGGTACGACTGGAGGCCCAAACGGCTTCATGTCGTCCTCTTTTTTCACCAACGACGCTCCGCTTGCAACGACCGCAGGTCGGTTCCGTTCGGCCCCGTTGGTTCACGACGTTCGGCCCCGGCGGAAGCGACAGGTCAAGAACGACAACGCGGAGATCGTCGCGACGGAGAAGTCCAACAGCCCGGATCGCCCGGTGGAGATCGTCGCGTGGCCCGCGTGGTGACGAAAGGAGGTACCGGTGGAATCGGTGGGTTTGCGTCCTCAAACTGGTAGACCGTCCTCAGAGGTGAGCAGTGGTGAGCGAAGCATAGCGAAGCGAGCTTATGCGCCCCATGTAGGTGAGTGGGAATGTTTTGGAGCGCTACGCTCATTGGGAGATTCATTCTACCAGGTGGGCATCTCATGTGAGCTACACTCTGACGAACACATCACCTGGACGTGGATGGCAGACCCTGTTTGTAGAGGACAGTAGTCTGGAAGAGGGTCCTATTTTCATCCATTGCATCCACTTCCATGTGATGTGTTCGTCAGAGTGTACAGCGTGCCACAACCAAAACCTTTAGATGGATCCAGATGAGTGGGGGATTACCATCCAGTATGAGGGAGGCTGAGAAAGAAAGGGGCGGTCGTGGATGAATGGAGTGTAGGCCTTACGCGCTCCATGTGGATGTTCTACCAGGTGGCCTTCCTGGTGGCCGTCTCATGTGGGAAAGGATCGGGTCGCACAAATGAATCGAGCGACCTTGGTTGATCTCAACAGACAGGTCAAGAATCCTCAAAGCATCATGAAACCGCCCTAATGTAAGCAAATATTCCTGTCCCGAGTCCCAAGGATTGTCGGAGAATGAGACCACCATGCATGGTCAAAGTTATTAAAAAGTTCTACAATCCTTGCTGGACATCGGCCTTCTCAAAAAGAACCTTCAAGCACTGCAACACTCGTGCGCCAACAGACCAGTCACGTCCGGATCTCCTCGGTCCTCGGTCCTGGTGTTCGCCGGTTTTCGCAACATCAGGTGAGCAGAAGTTGGACAATGAACGACTACGTGCTCAAATTCGGGAGGCCAGCAGCCAGCTGAGTGGACCGGCTGGGCTTCGTGCGTTCGAAGAGGGAACGAGAGCGGAGGAAGTGCTGTTTGCGCGGCTGGAAAGTCTCCAAGGTAGACTGTTGAGGACTCAGCCACGCCCTTGGTCTCCAGAATGATGTTGTCATATTATTGTATATCAGAATTGCAATCTACAGTCAACATGTTTGCTTGTTTGGACAGCCCTAGAATCTGAAAACCACTTCTTAAAGTTGATTCACCAGCGGTGTGGCTCGGCAGCTCCTAGCGTGTGTCTTTCTCACCAAGAAGGCCACGTCTTAAGAAAGAAGTGTTAGAGTGTGGGTCAACAACAAGGTCATGCCATTTAATGCAAACTTTTTCGGGTTCCAAACACCAGGAACTTGCGAATACCGGGATTGTGCTGGATGGCCCGAAACACGTGTGGGGGTGCCCGAAAGCCTTGAACTCAACTTGCCTGACTTGAGTTATTGAACCCCAACGACAAAGATGGGGTCGGAGGTGGTGTATTTCAATTGGGACTTCCAGGTGATTACCATCAAGGTGGTGGCCACACACATGATCATCCATGTAGTGTCCTTAAGGCTCAAGCCACATCCTGAGAAGGTAGTAAATCAGACCCCCCCAAACCCACCTGAACCACCTTCTCAGGAGGTAGTTGGTAGGTGTATAGTTCCTGGAAGCAGATGATGAACCATGATCAGCCCATACGATCTTCAGGTGATTGCAGATGTCGAAGAGAAGAAGGCAGGGGCAGCAAAGATTGCAGAGGACGTTTGCAATGTATTTGTTCCGGATCAGATCCCACCATATATATATATATATACACGTACAAAAGAACCATGCTATACCACGCTACTGGATGAATAATGTAACAGTTCCAGAAACACCTGACTTGGGAAAGGCAGCAAGTTTGAACGCCTTGGATGAGGCAACAACCCCACCGGCACTGTTTCGGGTGCCCGAATCAGATGAAGCATAGTGCATATTTGGTCCATCAGCCCAGACATGCCCAGACAGTCCAAGGGACCGGCATATTTACTTACATTGGGGGGGTTGAAAGGGGTCCATGTAGGAATATACATATGCTATTCCATATGTGCAGTGCCTGGGTAGGCCATTTGGTGGTTAAGGCGATCGATGTTGTGCGGAACATCAACCAATTGTGCGGAACATCAACAAAACCCACCAAGTTGAAGAGAACATATGAAGTTTCCCCAGTGCTTGGGCGGTGCGTTTGGTTGGGGGCCCAATCCGTGCCAGGAAGAGAATAGCGACCAGCAGAAGTACGAGATCCTCTTCACCAAGGACACACCATAAAGTCTCTCATTGGAGGTGTTTAAGCATTTTGAAAGCCCTTTCTTCTCAGGTCGACCTGTAGCGAGGTGAGGACCATGTCACTGGTCGTTTCCTCGACCAGACGAGTCCGTTAGTTATACCTAGTCTAGTGACGAGTCCGCCTTGACCGGTTTTGAAGTACTTTGCCTAGGTGATGCTTTTCTGGGCCGTGAAAACCCAGAGCCCCAAACCAACCAGGGTAGGGAACGACCGGGTGTCCCGGTGACTCGATTCTGTTCGGGAACAACCGGGTGTCCGGGTGTCTTGCGAGACCGAACGGTACGGACGTCACCAACGTCACGGTCCATTCACCTTAACCACCATGGTTTCGGTTGGACCGGGTCCGGAGATACGAGTGGTTTGCATGTGTGAGCCACAACCTGGAGGGTCGGAATGGCTTCTTGAAGACTGCAGTCACTCTTGAACTCAGACAGGATTTGCACACCTCAAAAAGACACTGTTTCTTTTTTGCAATCTTATATGGATCCAAGAACATCCCAAGAAGATAGGAATGGACCCGACTTCGTCACCCTCTGACCTGCATCACCCCAACTTCACCACGTTCTTTGGATGTATGTGGATTCAAGACGATTCCCCTGGGGCTGTGGGGAGTTTGGCTGACGTGTGTCAGGACCAAGAGATGACCGCCTTCATCGAAGGCTTTGCTGAAGCCAAGGCGCGTAGGCATTGCGTGCCTGGTGTGGGGACCGACAAAGCACAGCTTTACTTTTCACAGCCTCTTTCACATCCCCAACTGCCTTCTCCGAGGGCAGTAGAAGGTTGAAAGGAGGTGTTCAGTATATGCAAGACTGGACCATGAGATGTTATTTGTTCTGTTCCTTTTTTTGTGTCATTGATATCATTCTTTCTGCTTGAGGAGGGTACAGTTGTGTTCTAGTATACATAATGTGTTTGTCGAGCAGATCTCATGTTTGATTCTGGGAATACTTGTCATCAAGAAGGCATGCTGGTTTCATTAGCACTTGGACTTCTTGTTGGTCCTGGCGGTTTTTCTCCAGGTGCCCTTCCTGCCAGCAGTGGGTGTTTTCAGCCGTTCATGGGAGCTCACATGCAGCCGTGGGCCGTTGAGGCTGAAGAAGAGCGGAAGATTCAAGAAAAGAAAGAGGTGCAGCAGATGGCAGTCCTTTGTTCTTGTGGCTGAGAAAATGTCAGTGCTGCAGTCTCAATTTCATTCAGACACCTTGGATTCTGGTACAGTCGTACGATCAAGTACCTGTATAATTACTTGGGATTAAGGTGTTCCATCATATGAATCATATTGATTTATATTAATGATTAATGGGAGCAAGCTGGAGACCAAGTCCTCAAGATGCTGAACATCTTTTTTGTCAAATGGACCTTGCGAGACCATCTGAGACCGGGAGCATAGAACATCCAATACTCAAAAGCGCCATAAGGGCAGAAATGACCTGGGTTCATCTGGGTTCCAAAACATCCAGTTTTACTGTTTGGATGGAGTAAAACTGGAGAAAAGACCTGGGTTCCCAAATTGTTTCTCCAGTTTTACTCTGTAAAACAACCCCAACACATCCGCACCGTGCTTTAGCTGGGTTCGAGAGAATCACAAATAAAGCTCGCTTTTTCGGTCGTTCAGAGTGCGGAAGTCTCCACTTTGTTATACGACATGACCCCCACTTGTAGCCCTTATTGGGAGTACTTGGAGATCCGGATGATTTATCTAATGTTTCGATCGCAACTTCAACACATCCACCCAAGATGTCGGAGACCAGGATGAACTACACCAACTCGGCCTGGAGACCTGTCCACTACTTTGAGGATATCTGTGGACCTTTCATGGCTTGCACCTTTCATGGCTTCGACCCCTAAGTGCAGGGAACTTGTGTTACAACTTGTGTTACAGACAGGTCGCTCGAGGTCCAACCCGCCTTTCGCAGACCGCCGTCGTCTCCGACCCGCCACCGTCGGATCTTCGTCCGACCCCACCTTTGCCGATGTGTTCCGCCGGTCATCGGTCCACGTGCCCAGAGCATTGAGCGTTTGCAGCTGATCATCTCGAAGAGTGTGGAGTTGCCGCCGGATGTTCCGCGGCCGAATTGGACGAACTTGAGGGCCGGTCCCTGCCGATGACCCGACGGGGATCTTTGCATGAAGAAATCCACCAAAACAACACTTCCTCGTATACTCTTTGTAAAAGCCTGTAAAACCTCTTCTATGTGGGCTTGATCATTCAACAGTCAACATTTAAGGGAGTACATCAAAGGGGGTGCGGACCGCTGAGTTTGGGAGTCACCGGACCACTCGACCTGGACGTCTACGACCCATTGGCGGCAGACTTTGAGACATCCTTCCAATCCGGCGGAACTGTTTGAGACCCCGGGTGCCCCGGCGATCAGAGATGCGTCACCAAATGACATAAGAGAGACCCCTTGATGAATCAATGTATCCCCTTAGTAATTAAACCTCCCTCCATTTCCGGACCACTTTTTCAGACACAGGGAGGAAGTACCGTGTCGTTGCTTTCTGCGCGTCGCCGCTACACGGCGTCGCCGCGGGTGGATCGCTGGATCTCGGGACATCGAGGTCACGCCAGAGTCACATCTTCGGGATATGGAGGACGAGCGACTCGGTGCAGAGGACGCCACCGGTCTCAGAAGACCACCTGTCCACGTACTCCTACAAAGCAAACACAAGTACCATGAAGCAGCTGTTGTTGTTGCTGTTGTTGGTTTTGTTGTTGTTGTTGTTGTTGTTGTTGTTGTTGTTGTTGTTGTTGTT